ATGCTTTCTTGGGATGTCACATGATGTGATAGTTCAGGTCCATAGGGAAAGGAATTCAATTTTTGAATTCTTTCATTAATGTGTATTCGGCTAATGAAAGGATCCAAATTTCCATCCATTCATTAATTTAGATGCACATGACACCAGTCAATATTGTCCAATCAGTTTATGCCATTTCTCTTGGTGGATTGGACTAGCATCTGAAAAATATTGAATCCTTCTGATTTGAATCCATCCAATTTGATAATGTATAGAATATATTGCAATGTTCTGGAAAAACTGCATTTTCCATATCTATTTTTTGAATCCACCCGGACCAACGAATAAATGAAAGAAATGCCGAAGATACTAAACGAGTTCTGAAAACAAATCGAGTCAACAAATATGAGGAAACTAAATTCTTCAATGAATGAATGCATCCGAAATAAAACGAAAGAAAAATTTCCGACGTGCACATGTCTAATAATGGGACTCTTTTTTGATGTTTTTAGGTCAGCATCTTTGCAACTTAGCATCCATATATGTTATTGTTTTTACATACTGTTTATGCTTTTTTACTTAAAGTGTATGTCCAACAAAAACTTTTTCTTTAGTGGGGAAGGGCTGGAACCCTTACCAGATTTATACTACCCTCCGGGGTTCCCTTAATCCCTAAACCCAAGAATTCTGAAGCTTTCTGTAGAATTATTGATTTCATCTAGAAAGTCAGCACTATGGCTTACTCCTTCTTGTACCATCACTGTGATGGGCGGCCTTACTGGTCAATAATGAGGCACATGAGTAGGAGGGCTAGAGTTTAAATTTTCTAGCTCAGGTTGGCATTTACATGACAGAGTTCACTACGTTTTGGGGTTTTTTTGGCACTGTAGAAGCTGCATTTAGGCACCTGGAAATGGTTGCTGTACAAGCGGTAGATTAGATAAGTAACAATAGGGTTACAAGTTCATATCTGGTAGGGTCCAACCAAAACTAACATTTTAAAAATTTTAGCACTACCCTTGTGAGGGCCGCTGTGTTGTTGGTATCCCTAAGTCTCTCCCCGCACAGCCAGGCAATAGGTATTTCTCACACAGACTTGCATCCAAAGGCAATAACCAGTCCATGGACTTGGTTTTGTTGTTTTATTAGGAGAATTCAACTTGGATATTTAAATAGGGATTATTGGATGCCCAGTTTGGTTTGAATCAATGGAATGGGGATACTTCCTTCCTATGTACAAAAGGCAGATCCTGAACTGTTCTTTTCCTGAAAGCCATCAGTTGTTGCGGATCAGTAGCAGCTACCCCTTATGGGCAAGGAACTAGCAGCTCCTCAAAAATCATCTCCACTTCTCGTAGCTACATCCAGAGATGTATTTTCTTCCCCTGTAGAGCTGCAGCTCCAGGCCTGCAAACACCACCAGTCCTCCTGGCCTCTCAAAAGGTCTACCGGGACAAGAGTAAATGATTGAGCCCAGCATTGTCCTTAGAACACTTGCCACGTGTGGCAGTTTTTCCCCCTTGTAGATCTCAGGGGGTGCTGCTGTACTCCTTCCTCCCTGCTGCTCCAGGTCTCGATACAATTCATGCCTTACTACTGAATGCATCCTCCTGAGCCAGCCCAAGCCCAGCCTGGGAACCCCTCCCAGGCACCGACAGGCTCCTCAACATTCCATCTTCCACCCATCTCCCTTGTCAGCCTGACTCTCCCATATTTTTGGGTCAGTCCACCATTCTACCAGGCCTCCAAACCTGGGATTGGCCAGACTTCTATGAACATGCATATCAGGTCTCCACCTCTTCCTGCTTACTGACTTCTGGAAGGTTCTATGGTCCTCCAGAGTCAGGGGGAGGCGTTAGAGCTACAACCTGTTGAGTCATCCAGCTGACCTGCAATAACCCGACTCACATGACTCACACAAGTACCATGAATCATACCCACTGATTTTGCCTATAATCTCCTAGATTGTAAGCTCGAAAGAGCAGGGCCCTTGAACCCCTCGTGTTTTGTTTTGTTACTGTATTGTCTCATGTACTGTCCCCCACTATAATGTGCAGCGCTGAGCAAACCTTTTAGCGCTATATAAATACTGTACAATAATAATAATACACTGCACTATTCTAGTAGCACACCAGCGGGTGCTACAGAAATAACTTCAAAGCAATTGCTAAATGTAGCATGTATTAGCTATCATGTCATTGGAGATTATATAGCCATGAGGATTTATCTGTAACTAATGGAAAATGTCCAAATTGTGCCAGTTGTCAGGAGGGAATGTAAACACATTGAGTGTTGTGTCTATCCAAGTATTCTACAGACAAAAGGAACACAGTCTGCAATTCCTTTGAATAGATAAGATATGGTTATTGGACACTACACATTAGGGTCCTGAAACAGAGGAGAGCTAATGTTTTATCTCCAGACAACAAGTTATATAGCCAAGCTATCAATTCCATTCAATTTACCTTAATTTTGAGTTTTTCCAGATCCAACAGGACCCAAGAGGTTCCTTCCCTGACAACTTCTTGTCACACACAGAGGGTAGTTTAGGGATGTCCACAAAATAAAGATACTGGTAACTGAAACGGATCTAGTGAGTAGGCATTCAGCTACAGAGGCTGTGTTTTAAAAGAAATTAGAAACCAACATACAAGCAGTGGGGTATTTAGATTTTGTGCTGCCTTAGGTAACACAGAAATTGGCTGTCCCCGCCCCCCCCCCCCCCCCACAGCAGAGACAGCCTGACACCGACCAACACCAGACCTTCTCCCCCTCCCTCCCACGGAGAGAGTCTGACAGTGACCAACAACACCCCTGCACCATCCCCCCCACCCAAGAGAGCCTTCCAATTACACCCACCCCCACTTCCCCCGCAACAGAGAGAAAGATACTCACCCTTACAGCTCTTGACATCCCCAGGAAGGACAGTTGGGCTCTGCATACACCATCAAGCAACCCGCAGCCTCTCTTGCATCCCACCTGGTCCCCATGCTGCATATGCCCCCCCTTGCTCCGGGGGGCAGTGCTGCCTCCCTAAAAAATGACGCCCTAGGCAAATGCCTTGTTTGCCTTGTGGTAAATACACCCCTGCCTACAAGTAAGCTCTGTAAGACCACCCAAAGCTGTCATTACATTTTTGGTTAGTACTGATGATGAGTTGAATCACCTACTATCTTTTTCCATCACTTGGAGACTTCGATGGCAAGATTGCCAGGGCTAGATCTGTGCCAACCTTGGATGTGTAGGCTGTGACCAAGCTGGCAGTTTTACTCTTAGCAGCACCCTTTACATATCTGCGATCTGCTGCTAGTTGTGTTTCTTTGCTGTGGAAAGTTCAAATTGTGGCTCCCTAGAAGACTTGAAATATTGAATGTCACATCAGGATCTATTTACTCAGTTCTGTGTTTTGCAATATGTACTCAATGTATTAAGCAAAAAAAATGTAAACTAAAAACACGCAGTGTGTCATCAGTTTGCATGTCAAACCAGTTGGCCTAGTAGAGCCAAAATAATCATTCTAAAGATTATCTCTGAGAGTCATACCATACGTCTTACCTACTGCTGTAGCAGATGTAGTTTCAGTTCCCCTTCTGCATCCTAATAGAAAGTAGAAGAAAACAAATATGGGTCTAATGAAATTGCCCATCTTAGGGGCTTTTGTAGGTAGACAGTTTTGGATAGTCAAACACATCAACGTTTTTCCACAAGAGTCCCTGAGAAATAAAATAAACCAAAAGTGAACGCAACTAACTAGTATCTCCAAAAAACAGAAATCAGTTGTAGGTGTATTGATCCTTGCAGTGAATAAACTAGTTTGTTGTCTCTGGCAAGTAAACTATGGCCTGGAGATCAGGTGTGTCAGACAGCAGAACCCTGAAATTCTGTACAAAGCAATGACAGGTAGACAGTGGCCATAGTTAAATCACACGGGGAGAGATTACCTGTCAGTTAAAGGATAAGTTCACCTTTTGGAACATGTTACACCCATATTTAGGGTATAACATGTATACAAGTTACGACAAGTTACGATCATGTTACCCCGCTCCCCGCTTTGGCAGCTAGCAGAGGATCTTCTAGCTGTGAATTTTTTAAAAAACACGGCCGTGCGAAGCTCTGCCCACACAGCCACATTACTCATTCACTGTCATCTGTGAATGAGAGACTACAAGTCCCGATGGCCTTAGTGGCTGTCAGCCTATAGCCCTCAATGAACTACCGCGGTGCTGTGAAGTGCTATGGTAGTTCATTGATTCTTCCTGTCAGTATATCTGCTCACCTATACATCCCGTATAACAAGCAGATATACTGACAGATCTGCAGGAGACCAGCATGGTGTCAGCAATCTGCTGATCGCTAGTACAATGCTTTCCAGGCTCCTGCAGACAAAAATAGTAAATGCACATTTTTTTACCTACAAAAAAATGTGTATTTATTATGTTTTTCTAAAAGCTGAACGTATTCTTTAAGGACAGATGATCTTTCCTGGATGCAAGCCACTTGGGATGATAAATCTGTTCCTAACCACTGGTAATTACTCCTTATGTGATTACTTTCAAACACCAGCAGACAGCTACAGTCAGTCTGTCAGTGCTTTGTACTGGCTTCCCGGCAACAGATTTCAGCACACTCCTCGCCACAGTTTTTTTTCTCATCGCTGACGATTTGGCATGTGAATGAAGCTTAAAGCGGAGTTCCAGCTGAATAAAAAAAAAATAAAAGTCAGCAGCTTCAAAAACTGTAGCTAGCCACTTTTACAAATGCAGACACTTACCTGTCCCTTGGTCCAATGGTGTCCTCACTATGACTGGTTTCACCGGCCATCTTCTCTCCCCGGCTCCAGCATCTTCAGTGTGGGCACCCGGCTGTGACAGCTTGCGGCTTCACAGCTGGGTGCTCACTGCGTATGCGTGAGAAGCGTTGTGCTTTGTAAATGGTCCCGTAGTCTTCTGGGACCTGTTACGTGTCCCAGAAGACTATGGGGAGGGAGGGCAACTTCCCCTTCCGATCTCAGCGGAAGTGGTGGGTACCTGTCAAATTCGGGTACCCCCTCTCACCCTGTTTTTTAGACAGATAGAGTTTCATTGGTGGTATTTAATCACCACTGATTTTTTTTTTATTTTTCTGCTCTATAAATGAAAAAATACCGAAACTTTTGAAAAAAGAACCAAAATATTTTTTTTCTTAGCTTTTGCAAATAAATAATCTTTCTTCATAAATATAGAACAAAATATATTCAGCTACATTTTGGGGGTAAAATTAGGCCAAAACAGTGTATATTATTTAGTCTGTCTGAAAGTTATAGAGCTTCCAAACTAGGATATATATCTGAAAATTGATCAGTTGAGGCCCTATAATATCAGACGCTGGTATGACGTATGGCAGTGATCAGGATGCTGGTATGGGGTATGGCAGTGATTAGGACATGGATTTGAGGTATGGCGGCGATCAGGATGCTGATTTGGTAGTGATCAGGGTGCTAGTATGGTGGTAATCAGGATGCTGGTATGGGGTATGAGAGGGATCAGGATGCTGGTATGGGTTATGAGAGGGACCAGGATGCTGGTAAGGCATATGGGATGATCAGAATGCTGGTATGGGGTATGGCAGAGATCAGAATGCTGGTATGGCAGTGATCAGAATGCTGGTATGGGGTATGTCGGTGATCACAATGCTGGTATGGGGTATGGCGGTGATCAGAATGCTGGTATGGGGTATGGCAGTGATTAGGACGCTGGTATGGGGTATGGTGGTGATCAGGATGCTGGTATGGATGGGGTATGGTAGTGATCAGGATGCTGGTGTGGGGTATGGTGATGATCAGAGCACTGGTATGATGTATGGCAGAGATCAGGGTGCTGGCATGGTGTATGGCGAAGATCTGGGTGCTGGTATGGTGTGTGGCGAAGATCGGGGTGCTGGTATGGTGTATGGTGAAGATCTGGGTGCTGGTATGGTGTATGGTGAAGATCAGGGTGCTGGTATGGTGTATGGCGAAGATCAGCGTGCTGGTATGGTGTATGGCGAAGATTGGGGTGCTGGTATGGCATATGGCGGTGATCAGGACACTGGTATGGTGTATGGTGAAGATTGGGGTGCTGGTATGGTGTATGGTGAAGATCAGGGTGCTGGTATGGTGTATGGCAACGGGGTGCTGGTATGGTGTATGGTGAAGATCTGGGTGCTGGTATGGTGTATGGTGAAGATCAGGGTGCTGGTATGGTGTATGGCGAAGATCGGGGTGCTGGTATGGTGTATGGTGAAGATCTGGGGTGCTGGTATGGTGTATGGTGAAGATCAGGGTGCTGGTATGGTGCATGGCGAAGATCAGCGTGCTGGTATGGTGTATGGCGAAGATTGGGGTGCTGGTATGACATATGGTGGTGGTCATGGTGTTGGTATGGGGTACGGCAGTGATCAGGACATTGGTATGGTGTATGACGGTGTTATTGTGATCACTGGAACAAGTGACGGGCTGGCTGCATTATTTTATTTAAATTTCACTGGGGCAGTGATCAGGGACACTGGGGCAAGCTGGAACTGCAGTCTATGAATGTACAAGCATCCTGGCAGGCTGCATCATCGGTTCTCTCTGCTCTCACAGTGAGAAAGAACTGATGCTTACTTTCACTTTCCATTGTTTACTATGTGATTTCTGTGATTGGACGCAGAAATCACATGATAAGTAGTGTGATCTGCTGTGTCTGGGTGACACACAGATTGCTGGGCACCTGGATGTGCGCTCTGTGAGCTGCGTAGGAGCCACCGATGCGGGCTGACATACAGGTACGTTAGCTCACATTGGCAATGCTTCCCGGCCACCATTTATAGGCTATGGGTGGACAGGAAGCAGTTAAAGAGGAGCTGTAGCTGCTGACTAATAAAAGGACAGCTACCGGTCCAGGGATCCAGCACCACCCTCAACCAGGCCAGTTCTTTGGCAGTCATCGAGTCCCCGAAGTCGGCATGTTTGCTAATAGAAGCCAGCCGAGACTCCCTGTAGCTTCAGAGCCAGTTTCCCACTACACATGCGTGAGCCGTGCTGCACTTTGTTAATGGTCCCGCAGCCTTCTGGGACCTTTGACTTGTCTGTGGGCAAAGGGGGAGCCTAAACCTCTGCTCCAATCACCTGTGCGATCCGAGAGAAGTGGGAGCAGGTACCCATCAAAACTAGGTACCTGCTCAACAAGAACAAAAAAGTGTCCAAAAGTGGTGGAGGAGGGCAGGGAGGAGGTGGACAAGTAAACCTTTCCTTTTTGGGTGAATTTCTGCTTTAACTACAATTATTTCCTAATTTCCAGTTTTTAAATGATCATAAATGGCACCAAATCAATGGATATCACCTCAATACAAAAAACAAAAAACCCTATTTTCAATCAATCTCTGTCTCAGTTTTGTATTGTTGGCTAATTATAAGACAGGAAGTGTTTTTGGTTGAAAGCCGATTGGATGCAATGAAGTTGTGAAGTACATGGCCAGAATAATAGAAGACATATATAAAGCAGGCCATTGCTTCCAGGAGCCTGGACATTGGCCACTGATGAACCATCATTTTCCAGAAGCTGCCATGGTAATGTAAAGGACGGGGTGAACATTTCCATTTACATGGTCACATCGCCCTGTTTATAGATGACAGCAGAAATTCCCATGGATCAGGCTGCGGAGGAGGCGGAGGATCCCTCTTGTTGGGATGTTATTTTCCTGTCATCCGTGAGAGGTTCTCTCAGTATGGTCTAATCCTCCTTGTATACAATGGTGTGTATGTGGAGGAAAAGCAGGCGTCTGTGCTTGTTTCACTAACATCTTGCATGATAAACAACTCCTGCTTCCCCTCCTCGGTAGAAAAGACACTGGAGCCATTGAACTTGCTCTCCCCTGGGCTTCTCTGAAGTCCTGTGATAACAATTTAGAGGAAAAAACTTTCACGCCCCCACTCATTAAAGTTGAAAATTCCACTGGTCCCTAATACGGGCAATCTGAGCGCGTGAGCCGAAAATAAAACCAGTTCCTTGTGCAGGGAGCTTAACCCTTAAATTGTAAGAAAAACAAAAAATAACACAAACAGATACAAATGGTTCTTGTTTAGGAAGAGCATAGTGGGCCTCATTTAGAGAAGCATTGAGCATGTTGCCCAGAGCCACCAATCAGAATCCTCAGACCGTAATCCTTCATAGCCCTGAATTATCCCCCTCCGGAGGCACAGGACCTTTTTCAGACCCCAATCCCTTTGTTCCTGTTTTCTCCACACTGTTTCTCTTTCAGGTCAGTTTTCTAAAGCTACAAAAAATAGTGTTTATATTGCACTTAAAATTGTTGTAAAGGCTCAAGTTTTTTTACCTTTATGCATTCTATGCATGAAGGTAAAAAAGCTTCTGTGCGCAGCAGCCCCCCAATACTTAGAGGGCAGCACAGTGGCTAAATGGTTAGCACTTCCACCTGGCAGTACTAGGGTTGTTGGTTCAAATCCCAGACATGGCACCACCTGCCTGGAGTTTGCAGGTTCTCACTGTTCCTGTGGGATTTCCTCCAGGTACTCCAGTATCCTCCCACACTCCAAAGATATGCTGGTAGGTTAATTGGATCCTGTCTAAATTGTCCTTAGTATATGAATGTAAGTTAGGGACTTTAGATTGTACACCCCCTTGAGGGTTAGGGACTGATGTGAATGTACAATATATATATAAAGCACTGCATAAATTGACAGCGATATATAAGTACCTGTAATAAATAAATAAAAAAACATTTTGTCCAGAGCCACCAATAAGACTGCTCAAATCATCCTTCATAGCCCTGAATTATCCCCCTCCGGAGGCACGGGCCCTTTTTCAGACCCCAATCCCTTTTGTTCCTGTTTTCTCCACACCATTTCTCTTTCAGGTCAGTTTTCTAAAGCTACAAAAAATAGTGTTTATATTGCACTTAAAATTGTTGTAAAGGCGCAAGTTTTTTTACCTTTAGGCATTCTATGTATGAAGGTAAAAAAGCTTCTGTGCGCAGCAGCCCTACAATACTTAGAGGGCAGCACAGTGGCTAAATGGTTAGCACTTCCACCTGGCAGTACTAGGGTCATTGGTTCATATCCTAACCATGGCACCACCTGCCTGGAGTTTGCATGTTCTCCCTGTGCCTGTGTGGATTTTCTCCAGGTACTCGAGTATCCTCCCACACTCCAAGGATATGCTGGTAGGTTAATTGGATCCTGTCTAAATTGTCCCTAGTATATGAATGTAAGTCAGGGACCTTAGATTGTACACCTCTTGAGGGTTAGGAACTGATGTGAATGTACAATATATACACACAAAGTGCTGCATAAATTGACAGCGCTATATAAGTACCTGTAATAAATAAATATAAAAACATGTTGCCCAGAGCCACCAATCAGACTCCTCAGACCATAATCCTTCATAGCCCTGAATTATCCCCCTCCGGAGGCACAGGCCTGTTTTCATACCCCAGTCCCTTTGTTCCTGTTTTCTCCACACCTTTTCTCTTTCAGGTCAGTTTTCTAAAGCTACAAAAAAAATAGTGTTTATATTGCACTTAAAATTGTTGTAAAGTCGCAAGTTTTTTTACCTTCATGCATTCCATGCATGAAGGTAAAAAAGCTTCTGTGCGCAGCAGCCCCCCAATACTTACCTGAGCCCCTCTCGATCCAGCAATGTGCACGAGAGCCTCAGCTGTCCTAGGTAACTCTCTCATCATTGGCTGAGACAGCAGAGGGAGCCATTGGCTCCCACTACTGGCAATCACAGCCAGTGAGCCAATGAGAGAGAGGCTGTATGTGAATGAGCACATAGAGCAGCGACTCGGGAAAAAGCCTGCTCAGGTGCCCCCATAGCATGCTGCTTGTTGTCGGGGCACTTGACAAGAGGGAGGGGCCAGGAGCTCCGATGGGGGAACTGAGAAGAGGAGGATCTGGGCTGCTATGTGCAAAACCAGTGCACAGAGCAGGTAAGTATGATATGTTTGTTTTTCAAAAACATCTGCCTTTATAATCACCTAAAAGTGAAACTAAACCCATCACTTTTACTCTCCATATACAT